TAGCGGGGGCACAGGGCGCTAACCCACCCAAGGGGAGGGTATTGTTTATATCTCCACAGGAAAAGAGGGACCAAACTTCAACCCAGTGCTCCAAGGTGTGAACACAAAAAGTTCAAGAGACACAACCACACACAAAATAAAGCATCTTTAAAATGTTTTCTTTCTTTCGTTTTCCTGAAATCCATAATTGGAAAACCTACTTAGTCTGAGATACTTTAAATTGAACTAATTGTAATGATTGTTGCTTCATTTTAAATATATGAAGATATTAAAATAATTCATGTCTTTTATTTGACCAAGGCTTTGATTTGAGCACAGGGATAAATTCTGATTTTACCATGAGTTTCAAAGAAGATTAAGTATTATAATGGGGGAAAAGATGCAGGTAATGTTAGCTTCTCCATAAAGCATAAATGAAAGAATCTTGTGTCTTAGGGATTTCAATTTTGAACATTGCATATTCTATATAACAATCAGTTTACAAACCCTTTGAAAATTAAGGTTCCAGATGTGGAACAGAATCCAAAATCATAAAAGAGACCAGACTTACTGGCTGGTTAGAAACTGAACTCACTCCCATAATAGAATAATCAACCATTTAAGATTTTTTTTAAGGGGCAGCTTTATCCAAGGACAAAGTAGAGGATTAGGAAAGGAGAAGGGATGGAAAGAGGAAATACAGGAAGTGGGATAGGTGAGGGAAACACAATGGATGACATGAATTAGAATATGTATTAATTGCTAAATGCAAAACTGATGAAACCTTAATTAACAAAAAAAGGTTTATATATAAAAAAATAAGGTTACAGGTACTTATATATGAAAAAATAAGGTTGCTTATTTTCTCATCATGCGTCACAAATACCCAGGGGGAAAAAATTAAGGTGTACTTGAGCAATTTTTTACTTTACCATATTTTGCCATGTAGATAGGAATGAGCGTTTACAGTAATCAAACTACTTTCCAAAGGTTCAAGTGAGGGATAATTTGTATATGCTTTCTACAAATCCCTGGGAACAAAGAGCTAATAAACCTACAGAAATCAAATTATAAATTTCTAAAGTGCTAAGAGTCCATCTACTTAGTTAATGCCATGAAAATCAATCAAACATGATGAATGATTAGACATAAAAACTCTCTAAGACAATTATAAATAAGGCAGAGGGAAAACAAGCAACTCATGTTCTTTCTATATAAAAAACTAAGCAAATCTGTAGCAACACTAGAGGTTCTATCAATTGCTAATATAAGTATATTCAGATTTCACATTTTTATTTAAAAAACTTGACCAGTGATCACACTGTTATAATATACTCATTTGTTTTCTACTAAGGTTTTATTACACAACATAATAAAGTTACATATAAAATCTAAGATGGAAAACCTGAGAGGCATTTTATTTTGAAACCTTTCCCAGCATGCTTTCATCTCTTTTAATAAGACTACAAAACTTTTTCAGTAGTTTTACTACTGCTTTTTTAAGAATGAGATGCAAAAGCATCAAAAATGTTTATACTGGAAGGATCCTATTCAGGAGACACTTCACTTACTCTAAGTTCTTAGGGCAAGCTTTTAAAGTTTTCATCCTTAACATTTAGCCACTAGAAGCCAAAATGGTAAAATCTAATAAAATTCTTTTTTTTTTAAATCATTCTATTGGGGGCTCTTATAACTCATCACAGTCCATACATCCATCCATTGTGTCAAGTACATCTATCTACTTGAGCCCTTGGTATCAGCTCATCCCCCCCCCCATTAACCATTGATAATTTATAAATTATTTTGTCATGTTTTACACTGTCCGATGTCTCCCTTCTGTTGTTCCTCACCCAGGGAGGAGGTTATATGTAGATCCTTGTGATCAGTTCCCCCTTTCTACCCCACCTTCCCTCCACTCTCCCAATATCACCACTCTCCCCACTGGTCCTGATTTCCTGTGTTTCCAGTTCCTATCTGTACCAGTGTACATCCTCTGGTCTAGCCGGATTTATAAGGTAGAATTGGGATCATGATAGTGTGTGTGTGTGGGGGGGAAGCATTTAGGAACTAGAGGAACATTTTATGTTTCATTGTTGCTACACTGCACCCTGACTGGCTCGTCTCCTCCTGTGACCCTTCTGTAAGGGGATGTCCAGTTGTCTACAGATAGGGTTTAGGTCCCCACTCCGTACTACCCCTCATTTACAATGATATGATTTCTTGTTCTTTGATGCCTGATACCTGATCCCATCGACACCTCATGATCACACAGGCTGGTGTGCTTCTTCCATGTGGGTAAAATTCATTTTATGAAAATATTCTCTATTATATTCACCTTATTTATAATCTCTTACAAATGATGGCTGAACCAGGTAAGATAACATCAAAGTATTTTCCCCCTTTGAAGAGATCATTAGAAAGTGTGATTTAGAGATAAAAGCTAGATTTCTTTAGATATAAGCCAAAGTAGCTAACATTTACCTTTAAGAATGATCACACATAGTACTGATAACTATCTTAGAGACACAGTAGGTGCCCAATAAGAATGTCCAAATTACAACTCTTTTAAATTTGTCCTCTGTGGGGAACAGAAGGAATTCTCTTAAGTTGTCTCCCCAAAATATGTACCAAACTTAGCTGCTTAAGAGTGACTGTGGGCAAAAGTAGGTCAGAGGTTATTTTCCTTGACATTGGCCATCTGTAGTGGCTAGACCATTAGTCTGACTCACCCTGAATAAGACCCACTCCCTTCTGATAAGGATAATGGTGGTCTATTCACTTGCAGGGATACCAGAGAGGGCAAACCCGCCCAAGGGTGACCAAGGTTAGTTAGCCATTATCAGCTGTTTAGATCAAGCAGATACCACTGTCTATTCCACAACCAATGTGGGCACACCCCTAGGTGATTCCTCTCCTATTGATTGTATTGCCTATGTTAATATCCCTCCTGGTGACTCAGGCTATTGTCCACTATCAGGGAACTTGCATGCCTCCCAGAATAGTAATGGTCTGCTTTATTATGTGAGACATTAGAGCGATCAAACTTGTTCTAGAATGAATTGTATTGCCCCTTTCTGTGATGTATGATTACGATGCATGGTTAGCAATAAATAACGAGGCTCCCTGGTACTCCAGAGGGTGGCTGGCCGGAGAGTAGCTGGCCAGAGGGTGGCTGGCCGGAGAGTAGCTGGCCTGAGGGTGGCCAGAAGGTGACTAAGGAGGATGAAGCAGCGGCTTCTTCTCTGACGGCTAAGCCCCCTCCACGAGGACCATCAAGCCGGGCGGAGGTGAGATATGCTACCATGAATTGCGTCTGACTCCATTACTTGACTCTATCCTTTAACTCTCATGCTCTCTATGACTTTACTATAATCTATACTTATTATCGCTGTACAGTTGCGCCTACCAAACCTGTGGTGTTTTGTGGGGTTCCCTCTTACCCTTAACCCCACAGTCCTCACATTGAAATTAATGAACCAACTCCTTCAGACAAACAATTTGAAGCACAATCACCTTTACCTGTTGCACATGAAGCTTTTAAATCATTGAAATGGCAACAAAAGCCTTTTCTTGCACTAAAAAACCCTTAACCAACCAAACTCACTGCCATCAGTCATTCATAGTGACCTTACACAGGGATTCCAAGTCGGCAAATCTTTGTGGAAGCAGGCAGCCTCATCTTTGAAAACCACCAACCTTGCAGTTAGTTACCAGTCCAACTCTTACATGACAGCACTACCAGGGCTCCTTTTCTTACACTAAAGGAAGGCTAAATAAAGAACTGTGTGTACTTGTTCCAGCTTACCTACAAATTTCAACTTAAAAATAGATCTTGTTTGGGACTGGGGAACTACTTTTTCACTGAAAACCAAAACACGATACCACCAAGTGAGTTCCGCCTAATAGTGATGATAGAGGACAGAAGAGATCAGCCCCTTTCAGTTTCGAGACTGTAAAATCTTCACGAGATCAGAGAGCCTTATTTTTCTACAGCTATGCCTAAAGGTTTCGAAGTACTGATATTACAGTAAGCAGCACAAGTTCAGGAATGGTCTCTATGTAGCTAAGACTTAATAGATAACTGGAAAGTAATAAAAAAGCTAAGTTATGAACAATACTTCCTGTATAACATCTACCCACAATTTTTTAAAGCCTTGAAAAGCTGAATTTCTTAAAACGTGTTCCTCAGACAACCCTTTTCTGAATTTAGTGCTAGATGAAATGCAAGCTTCAAAACGTGTTCAAGTAAATCTGCTAATTTTGAGATTATATACAGTCCAGGAACATGCACTTTAAACAAATCAAAATGTTCTATGAGAAACACTACACATTTGTGAGTGTGACTCAGTCTGAGCCGCCCTTCTCGCTCCTCTCTGGGTCACTGCATCTCCCTGCCAAGTATTAGCGTTACAGGAGTTGATTTTTGCCTCCACACAGTATTATTTTCCACGTAGGCATCAGTTATCTTTTAAAATGTAAATCAGGTCATATCACTTCCCAGCTCAAAAATCCTCATTTTTTAAATTTAAAGAGTTTTAAGTTACATACTCTATATCCTACCAATGATCACATATTGCAATTTAACTGAAATTACTAAAAAGATTAACTAAAGAACATTGAAGTTATCAGATTGAACATTCCTCCAATTGGGTATAATTTATTAACTGTAAACCAAGAAAATTAAAACTGTTTTACATAATGTCATTTTGCTGTTAGAATGGTGATCTATTGATTTATCATTATTGTTACTAGTAAGGTGAAAATGAGCAACAAAACTTTGACCGACTTTACAACCACCACACGTACAATTCAAAACCAATATATTTACTTGTAAAGTACATACCATTTTTGTGGAAGAAACCAGTAAATGTAAGCTGCAGATGAGCTGACAAGCTGGGAAAAAAATAAAAATTTTATCGCATTAATAATCTATAATAATGTGTATGGATTGGGATAACAGTTATATGAGCCCCTAATAAAATGTTATAAAAGAAAAAAAATTAATTTGATCACTACAGAAAGACATCCATCCCTTTCCCTATTCAATAAATATTGACAATGTAATTAAAAAAAAACTATAATAAAATAGCTTAGATATTAAAGTATAACACTGAAATTAAAATTACTTCAGCGAAGTTAGATTTTCTTTTGTAATTCTTGACTATTCAGCTCCCAAACCCCAAGCTTTTATTAAGTTCAATATCCAAACCAGAACATCTATATACCTAAAGAAAATTAAAAATGAACCATGACCCCATCACACATACACATACACACATGAAAACAAAGAGTTAAGCAAAAAACAAACACCCTCCCCCCCCAAAATATACCACCAAATAATGCAAGGTAACTTATGTTTCATAAGTATCTTGCCTCTATTTTTATGAGTAGTTGAATCCATGCAAACAGGTTTAAATGTTTTAATAATTTTAAGTTATGGAAACTCAGCATTCATAATACTGTAGATGATGCAAACATTACTTTCTTTGTAAATAAGTGGTGAAATACATCATTACAAATGTACCGTAGATTTATAATTTACCCAATTTCAATGTTATTTACATTTAGTTTTAGTACTTATAAAGAATGAAAAGAAATAAACTGCAGTGGTCCCTTTCACTTAAAAAACATCTGCTGATGTTGGGAAAACAATGTAAGACAGGCTAAACTAAACAAGCTTTTGTGTCGCTTTAAATTGATAAAAGAGAGTAATTTATGTGTCTACCAGGACCCATTCATTATCTTTCCTAGACAGTATCTATAGTGTGACAGAGAACATCCAGATTACAGTTCCAGAGAACAGAAGAAACCCTGGTGGTATAATGGCTGCTCACTAAAAGGTTAGAGGGTTGAGCACACCAAGAAGGGCTCGGAAAAGAGGCTTGGTGAACTACTAAGAAATTAGCCATTAAAAACTCTTGAGCACAGCCCTGCTGACACACATAGGGCCATCATGAGCTGGACTCAACAACAACTAGTTTTACAGAGAACAGATGGGAGAAAAATGGAAACAGTAATGACCTTACAGGCCCTCCCCTCCCCCCACCAAAAAAATTTACTAGTGAAAAGAAAAAAAAAGAAAAGAGCTAATAGTTGAAGGGCAATGAGGATCAGTAAAGGGAATGTGTTTTGTTTTGAAGTGACAGTAACAATTTATGCATTTTTTATAATTAGAGGGAAACATAATGAGGCAATAGTGTTAAGGAGCATGAAATTATTTTATTATTTTATTTTTTTATTATTTTTAAAAATTTTTTTTGAAACTATTTTAAATGAGAACATATTATACAAAAAAGTTAGACTTAGGATACTTTTTTCCCCCCCACAGAGAAATAAAAATCCAGTGAGTAGATATTTCCACAGAAGATACAATAATGTCTATCTATCCTCTGTTCCTAAATACTTCTCGCCCCTGTCCACCCCCCATCATAATCCCAATTCTACCTTACAAATCTGGCTAGACCAGAGGATGTGCACTGGAACTGGAAACACAGGGAATCCAGGACAGATAAACCCCTCAGGACCAGTGGTGAGAGTGGCGATACC